CACAGCAGTCACCGGATAAGATCGAGGACTCCTGTTACGATTGTACTCTTGATGGCTGCTGCTCGCGCCTGTATGCGCTGTGCGCCGAATAAAGACCACTTACATTGGGAGTACAGCCGGTGAAGAAGACGCTGCAATATCTGTGTGTTCCGTAGATGAGCTAGTATATCTGTGTGTTCTGTATATGAATTAGTTTTAGAGGGATGTTAGTTCCACTCTGACTTCCCAACAACCTGTCTGCAATTGTGGTGCAGTTGTCGTGCACAGGAAAACGCCGAAGATGGAAGTCATAGATGTCGAGCTATACGAATGTGACGGCATCAGAGGGCGAGTTCATTCTATCGTATTTTAATTACAGCATCTATCAAATTGCATATTGTCTTAATTTACTATGTGCCAAATTTAACATATTTTGAGTGGCATGTTCTAAATTTCGTGAAGCGCGTTAGCCCAGGCACAAGACGAGCAGCTCCCTGTACGCCGTAGCACGAGCGCGGAAGAATTCGGGTGCAGCTGCCTGTGTACAGCAGAGCAAAATACATAAGGGAATCTTAAATTGAATGGCTTAATGCTCAATAAATTGTTTCGGCTCTTTCTATGCATGCAAGCTGGCAGACAGCGGAGTGGTCCAGGCACTGCAATCCAATAGGGCGGTTAAAGCCTGTTTCAGCTGTCTGTATACCTGAAATTGAAGCCGTGCACGGCGATGAGAATGAATATTCACCTCCAGTTTCTCCTTCTCTAAGTATTAGAAAAGGCTGACGGCAGTCAGCCTTTTCTAATACTTAGAGCTGCTGCTGTCGGAGGCACAACACGACTGGCCATTGGTTAACTGCGTTGGTGCTAGCTTTTGCGACTTCTGCGGTGCTGGCTCATTCTGCAGAATGCGAAGCAGATTCTTTGTTTTAAATATTGTGAAAATGAAAAGTTGTTTTAATAATGCAAGAATAAGCCCGATATGGGCTGCTGCTCTTCTCCTGTCGGCTGCGACCCTCATAGCTGCCTTCCGGGCGCCAGTCGATGCCTGGCGGGCGCAGCAGCAGCTGCAGCAGCAGCCGTACCACCATGAAAGGTGGGAAAATGATACAGTCTCAGGTGCTGAACTCGCACACGAGAGCGAGAGGAGTTCAAATAAGTCGCACTTCGCCTCGGCCTTGCAGGTCGCCTCCGCCGGTGAAAAGCACGGAGAGGAAGAGGAACCCTCGGAAGGATCTGCAACAGAAACCGCTGCCTCTCATGGAGAGAAGGGAAAACACACAGAAATGGAGGACAGTAGAACAGCAGAAGAGGCAACAGAGCAGGAAGAACCTGAAGAATCTGCTCATCTTGAAGAGGCAGGCAGCAAGACAGAGGAAGCATCTGCCAAGGAGTCTAACACTGCTGAGGCAGGACATGCTGCGCTGCATGCAGCAGAAGCGGAAACAGCCAAAGGCACCCCTTCAGAAGAAGAGAAGGAAGAAGTTCCTCACCCCTCTGCTGCTGGGTCAGTCAAGGAGCCACCAGCAGAGGGCGCAGCAGAAGCCGCCCCTTCTGGGAAAGTTTCTGCAGCCGCTGTCCCCAAGCCAGAACACAAGGAAGAAGCTGCAGCAGCAGCAGGCGGGGCCCCCGCTGCTGCTGCTGCCGTGCCACCAACAGACAAGTTCGTGATGCAATTGAACTTCAGGCCGTCTTTAGTAATAGGTCGGGCAGAAGCAGACAAGACAGAGCGGCATGTTATAACGGACAAAGCGGTTCCTTGGTTTGAAATCATCGGCCCCAAAACCCTCACGGTTCTTAACCTGAAACCCGTGAAGGGAGAAGAGCTCCTCCACTCAGTTGCCGCCACCACTAAGCACCCCTGAACAGACACACTTGCATGCTGATCTCCATGCGTGCACATATTATAGAATGCATGCGAATGAGCATGCATATTCATACATGCTCATAGATATATGTATTATATCTATGCTGTGTATACACGTATGTAAATCGACATAAATTGTCATGCGCGTATTTATGAATTCTTTAATATTTACGGCTCAAGAGGCGCCTCTATTTCGCGAGAATAATTCGGTGAGAAGTCGGGCCTGCTTCGAGTTTGCGAATATCCCTTTTATATCGGGTGTGCAGGCACCTTGCCGCCTTAAGGTTGATGTACACCGGAGAAGTAACAGTCGAGTTGCGTGCGTCCATTGGACGATTTCTTTGGGCTGTTTTGGCTATTGCCGATATTCTTTTCCCCAAACAAAAAAACCTAAACGACAGAGCAAAAAGTCTTAGATTCTCCCCTTCTGCTACTACTCTAGGGCGGATGCTGCTGCCTATCGGTTCGAGTCGAGGCAGCAGTAGCAACAGCAACAGCAGCACTAGCGTGGAGTCGTCAGTGGATAGATCACTGCCTTTAGCAGCAGAATGGAAGGGAAATATCATTTCATTCTTTGTTCAGTTAGGAGTACAGAAGGCCTTAAAGCAACAACCATAAGACTTGTCGATAGTTTGCCGAGTAAGCAGGCAGGATCTACACGCATGCGCATGCAGGTGTGCACGCCCCCAAGTGCGCGCCCGCAGCTGATAGGGAATGAAAGGAAAGATCGAAGGCAGAGGACGCGGCGAAAACAGAGAAGGAAAAACGGCAAAACAAGCAAAAAATACATTCATATGGAGGAGGGACAAATTCCACGTACTCAACCCATCAACTAATATCCATAAAATGTACAGAAGATATAGCATATCTATGTAATATATATATATATATATATTGCATATTGTCAATCTCTAAGTGGATTGCGAGGAGGAAATGGCGCCTTTGTCACCGTCGCTCCTCTTTCTCCTTACGTTTGCTTCTCTTCGTCGGCCCTTTCTTTATCTTGTGCTCATCACTGCCTTTGTTTTTCTCTCTTTGTGTCTTAATGCTTGTCTTGGTTGGCCTTCCCCTCTCCCTCAGCGTCTGTTCGTCTTTGTGGCTGTCTCTGCCTCGTCCTTTTTCGTTCCTTACATATCTGCGGTGTTGTTCATGTGCGCCTCCTCCGCCTCCCACTTGCGCCGGTTCATCGCCTGTACATAAGCAACAAACAACATAAGGGCAAAAAACGACAGCAGAATTTCCACCGGTACATAGACTAAACGAAACAAAACACCCAACACACCGCCACTTGGCCCTCAATAGCGACCTCCTTGATCTTAACAAGAGGACGCTCCTTCGGGCCACCCCGGCTAGCAAGCTGGCTAGCTACCCAAGGACTGGATACATAGTAGCTGTCTTCAGGCCTGGCCTTGGCTGATTTAGGAGTGAGTTGACAGCGCGGAGTGCGGTGTGTCTTTTGGTTTCTGTTTCCCTGTCCACGTCGCTCTCCACGTTGCTAGGTAGCTACCTGCCTCGCCAGCTAGCTGGGTGGCTAGCTAGCTAGCTATTCGTGTGTCGCTGTTCCTATATACCTTCAAGCGCTCCTCCTCGAACCCGTTCCCTCGCACAACTCCATCCCAGCGGTACCCGGGCTTAATGCCAAAGCGGTTCGGCGGGCCGTCGTGTGGGCACGTTGGTCGTTCTGCGCGCGCACCGCAACCCACCAGGATAGCTAGCTAGCTGGCCAGCTAACTAGCTACCTACAAGGCTGGCCAGCCAGCCAGTTAGACACAGGCTGCTCTACACCCAACCCGGCTATCCAGGCCACCTAGATGGCTAGCTAGCTACTGCGGCAAGCTAGCGAGTCGCTTGACACGGCAACTAGATAGCTAGCCAAGAAAGGACTCCTAGTCAACAGTACATCGCAGGAGGGGAAAGCTCCCCCTCCCCCCCGCCGCCTTCAACCTCTTCCCCCACAGGGTTGGGCAGCGTGTGTTAAGGTGTATATGGCGGCTTGCCTGGTTTGCTGCTGCTTTCGGCGTCTGCCTTTTGCTGCTCTTGTCGGTATTTCTTGGAAGAAGGGGCCCTGGCTAGGGGGTCATCCCACCGATCTCGCGCTCGTAGCTCTGCCTCTTCTTCTTCATCTATGCCGTATCTTCGCAGAGACAGAAAAGAACACAGCAGCAACAACAACAACAACAACGACAGACAGTGAGACGGCCCCAAAGCGCTTTGGTTGATGTTGATATTGGTCTTGTTGCTGGTACTGTACAATGAATATATATAATACACAATATATATATATATATATATTATATTAAATACGATACAATGTAGACAATTTGCATGTAATGTAAACCTATTTTTTTCATTTATACATACCGTATATTAAAACTATGCTGATGCATACACCAGGTATTATGTAAAGTTATTTACCTATGAAATGCAAACAATCTGTACATAATATATATATATTTAATATTATGTACATTTATTCTTTTCCACATTCATATTGTACATTAAAAGCATTGTATATTGAACAACGCATAATGTGACCAAATGCACTTAATTACTCATATACTTTATGCATCGAGCATTGAAAAAATTTCATTACATGTAATATATATATATATATATGCAGATATACACGCAAGACTTATACATCTTGTGCTTGTATCTGTTTATTGATACATATATTTCATACATTAAGTATCCCTATCCGAGTTCATGTACACAATACATACAATATATATTACATACGATATGCATGCATAAATATATATTATACATAATATATAGATTATACATATATAGCACCTTGCAAACGGTTGCTTGGCTATTTTTTCTTCTTCTCTTTGTTTCGCTTTTCTGTCTTCTTTCTGCTTTAAACCCGCGCCCCACTCCAACACCTGAATTGGACCACAAGACAACAATAGGCAAAAAAGGGCCTCACAGCAAACCGCTACAACAGCAACAACACAAATCTGCTGCAGCTCAAGGCAGAGGGATACCTGTGTATACGCCTCAAGAGACATACCGGAGCTGGCCCCCTTCCCCTGTGTCCTTTTCTCCCTTTTGATCCCTGTACATCGGCAAAAACAAATAGATTTAGCGAGGTGTCAATGATGAGCACAAAAAAGGCACAAACCCTAGGCCCTAACTTAAAAGCTGGAGCATTAGCCCTAAACCCTAAACCCCAGAGTACCTCAAGAGCAAGCCATTCCTCCTCAGAGATAATCCTTCCCTCTCTGTCTCGAAATACAACTCGGCCCGTGGGAGGCCCGCTTGCTTCCTGGGATCTGATGACAATCCATGCCCCACAAACCCTAAACCCTAAACCCTAAACCCTAAACCCTAAACCCTAGCCTACATCCTTGTGCCTGGGGGCGCGCCAGCGTCTCCTGAAAGGGTTTGTAAGCTTTGTGCCTGCTGCGTTAACACGGGCTGGCATCCAACTTTCCTACTGTTCCGGGTTTAGGGATTAGGGTCTAGATTTGGTCAGCAGAGGAGCAACAGATCTGAAGTACGTACTCTCGACTGGCGTCTCCTCTGGTCGCTGCGTTCTGTGTAGGGCTGCGGCGAGGGGAGAAGTCTCTGTCTGCTGCAGATGTCACTGTTTCCTTCTCGGAGTGTCTGTGTCCAGGTGCGTTCATAGGAGAAGATGAACACCTTTCGACGCCCTTGGGGTCCCCCGCCTGTGGAGTGGACACAGGGGGCCCCCGGGGCCTCCGAGGGGGGGAGATGTCTCTGTCTGCTTCTGCTCTTCTTCTTGGAGGTGAGATGTCTCTGTCTGCTTCTGCTATTCTCCTGGGGGGAGAAAGGTCCTGGTCTCTTCCTTTTCTTCTTCTTGGGGGCGAGATGTCTCTGTCTGTTCCTGTTCTTCTTGGGGGAGAGATGTCTCTGTCCGTTTCTGGTCTTCTTCTCGGGGGAGAAAGGTCTCTGCTTCCTGAATCCTGCTCTGCTCCATTGCGGTGCAGCTGCTGGTTTTGCTGCTGCGTGTCAGCATGTCTCCTTGAGGCAGGCAAATCATCAGCCCCCTCGGCTGGCAGCCCAAGCCGTCTCCTGTCGCGTCCTTCATAAGGACTCGCAGCACACATATGAGAGGACTCCCCCACACTCACAGGCCCATCCAGAGCAAACGCAGCCTTCCAGTTGCTGCTGCTGCTGCTGCTGCTGTTCTGCGGCGAGGAAGCTTCCTCGGATTCCCCCCTTGCGGGGGCCACTTGGGCACGGAGGGGGCCCCTGTTGCGGCCTTTGAGGAGGGAGGTTGGGGCCCCTCCTGGCCGCAGGTCTTCGTCATCTTCCATCTCCTCTCTAGCTATGAGTTCTTGGACTTTTGCTTTGTCTGCTTCACTCAGCACGAGGGCCTGTCCGTCCTCCCCTACAACCCGCACCTCCTCGGCATCAGATCCTAGCAGGTCATCCCCCTCCATCTCATCTGGGTTCTCATCTTTGAACAAGTACCTCGCTCCGTCTTCTGCTCGCCTTAGCACCGTAAACAGCGTCCGACCACCGCGGCCCCCGGGGCCCCCCGGGGCCCCCCCTTGCCGCCGCCCAGGCCGCAGATCCAACTCCTCATCCTCACCGAGACGTAAACCCCCCTGAGCACCCGAGGGCGGGCCCTGGGGCTTGCGGGGGCCCCTGAGGTACTTCTTGAGGTAGTCGGCTCTGCTGGGCATGGGAAAGGGCGGCGTGCATGCAAGGGGCGGGACAGAAGATTATTTACCTGATATGCCGCCCTATTGAAACAAATATATCCGTTTCTCGTTTTTTAGATTAAAAGTTTTTGTTATTTAATTTCAACAAACAAAAAGTCGGTGCAGCGACGACCAGAATATGCATGCAGCGTGAGATGGAGGGAGCGGCGAGTCGTGCTAGTGTATTTTGCGGATATCTTCGTCTTCTGCTCGTGGGAGCAAGTCAATTTCAATTTTGCTTTGTAATAATGGGGGCTTTGCTTTGTTTCGTTTACTTCTATTAGCCGTCATGCGGCTGGTTCGTTGAACACACACACCCTTGCAGGTGTAAATACACCCGACAGAGTATGGTTATCAGGCCGCAGACAGCCCAGCGCTTGCCGGTTCTCCTTCTTGAATGCACCTCCGCCTCTCTATTTCGTTTAATACGATTAGCTCGATTACCGTGGTAATATCTTCGAAAAGCACAAGAAGGCCTCGGTCTCCGTGTCATCAAGTTGTCTTCGGCCGTCTGCTGGGCCCGTCCTGGACTAGCTTCTTGAAAACTTTCTCCTTCCCTTCTCTGTGTTTGTTTTTCTTTGTTTTTCCCTTTCCACAACTTTCATATTTCGTTTCTGTTGCAGACTGGAACGGCAGACGATGAGGGGCCCCGCCCTCCCAGGCCAGCTCGGGGCCCCCCGCAGCCCGTCCCCAGTCCTCCCCTCAGATGAGCGAAACTATAGCGCGTTTGAAATAGACAGCAGCAGCAGCAACAACAACAACAATACCACCAACAGCAGCGGGTTTGAGGAGGTAGGGGAAGGTTGGAAAGGGCCTGAAGAGCAGTTGTTGCGCGATTTATCTCCTTCGCCTCACAGCCGTTTTTTAACGCAATTAATTCGTATTAAGGCACTGTGGATGCGTTGGCTGTATGGTTTTCTGTCTTGTGCTTGCTGTTTGCGTGGTTCTTTGTATTCTTCATTGAGCGGCGGCAAAGGCCTTCAGCACCAGCTCCGCCGCATCACCTTCATGTTCGGCGGCGGAGTACTTCTTTTTGTGTTGCTGTTGGTGCACCTCTGGCGCTTGCGTTGGGGGAGGCGTCGAGTTGTCTCCGGTGTCTCTGTACTGAGGGCTGGAGGGGATCCTGTTCGTGGGTTTTCTTCAGCTGCAGCTACGAGCGATCAGAAGAAGAGCGTTCCGTTTTTGTTTCGTGTGTTGTTTTTCTGGAGGCGGTGGGATTGGTGGCAGGGCGCAGCAGCTGCAGCAGAGGAGCCCTTTTCTCGTGTGCTTGAACTGGTAGGGGGCAGCGCTGTAAAGGAGGTTCACTTCGGGCCGGGGCCGCGTTTGCTGCTGGAGCTGAAAGACAAAAGGCGGGTTGTTTCTTCTCTCGTGCCTGGAGCAGAAGCAGCCTTTTTTCATGCTGTTTCCACTAGGGTGCCTCGCTTTAAAGCAGTGCAGAGGGGCGGCTTGGTATCTGCTGCTGCTTCTCTGGCTGCGCCACTGCTGCTGATGGCTGTTTGGTTCCGGCTGCTGCGGGGGCTGCTGCTGCCGCTGCAGCAGCAAACAAGGGACAGCGGGACCGAGCGAGACGCAGCAGGTGCCCCTCCTCCAACGCGTTTCCAAGAGGTTGTTTGTAGAAGGAAAGAAGAGCTAAAGGAAATTGTGTGTCTTTTGAATGGCCAGCAGGAGGTGTACGCTTCCATGGGGGCGCGGCTACCTCGGGGGGTGCTGCTTGTAGGGCCTGCAGGCACAGGGAAGACTTTGTTAGCTCGAGCTGTTGCAGGAGAAACGCATGCAGCATTTCTTTCGGCTGCTGCTTCCGAGTTTACAGACATTTTCGTGGGCCAAGGCGCTCGCCGCGTGCGCGAGTTGTTTCGTGATGCAAGAAGAAGAGCTCCTTGTGTTGTGTTTATAGACGAGCTCGATGCCTTAGGCTCCCGCAGCGGTAGCCCCGCCTTCTCTGAAGGCGCATCAGCAGCAAACCAAGAATATATTCAAACTATTAATCAGCTGCTAGCAGAGATAGACGGTGTCATGGGGGGTGCAGCAGGAGTTGTGGTAATTGCTGCTACAAACCGCATAGAAGCCATTGACCCTGCGCTGCTGCGATCAGGGCGTTTCGATCGCCTTATTCATTTATCCCTCCCAGACGAAGAAGAACGACTTGAAATCCTGCAGCTGCATGCAGCCCTGAAGAAGCTTCGCCTCACCAGCAAAGCACAGCGGCACCTGAAGCCCCTTGCTGCTGCAGCAGAGGGGCTGAGTGGCGCAGACCTCGAGAACCTCCTTAATGAAAGCGTATTCAAAGCTGTGCGGAGAAACAAAACACACATTGACGAAGAGGCCCTCGATGAGGCGCTATTTACCCTCCTCCAGCGCACCCAACAAGCGGGGCACTCGGTTGAACGCATCGGCCTTAGTGGAATTTTCAACTCCTCTTTCTAAACCAGTCTTTTTAAACTCTGCTTCCGCGGAATAGGTCATTTGAGCTCTTTCTCCTTGACCCTTCTTTATATATATGTAGGATAGGGTTTAGTTTAGATTATTATTTACAAGATGCAGTTTCTACAGCTCGTCGGCATGCATTAGAAGATCATTTCCGTACTCCATGGTTTTATTCCTCTTCTTCAAGGCCTCCCATTCAAGGTCTCCTGCTGCACTCTGCTCTTCATTTTCCCTGTTGGTTTTCTTCCTTTCTACCTCTCCTTTAGAGACCTTTCATGAGGGGCTTTTCGCGTAACGCATTTTATTTGATGCTTCCTGTTCAATTCCCCCACTACCCCCGCCTCTAAACTTTTTCTATTGATTCTCCTTTCTTGTTATTTCTCTCTTTTAGGGTCGTTTTGTTTAATCTCATTTGGATAGTGCATTTGACTCAACATCTCCCTTTAAAGTCGTTTATTGTAGGCCTTCTCACGGCTCCTAATGCTCTGGAACGCCTTCAGTGCTCCTGCATATCAGGGGAACTCTATATCCCTCAGCCAAAAAGAGCAAGGCAAACAGTAGCAGCTGCAGCAACAGCAGCAGCTGCTGCTACTGCCGTTGCTGGGGCTTGCGGCTGCCTCTGCCAGGTGAGCTTCCTAGCGGTGTGTCCCACGGACTGTCGGGGTCTGCTCACAGGAGGCTGGAGGAAGAAGAGATGAAATCAAATACAATTAAACAATCGAAGGCTTCCTTCTCTTCTGTGTTCCCTATGCTGGGTCACTACCCAGCATAGGGAACACAGAGGAGAAGGGATACCCAGGCAAGCATCCGACTGCAACGACGCCTACCCCAACGCCTAGGTAGCTAGTTATCCACTTAAGTAGCTAGCTAAACGGCTAGCTAGCCATTTAGCTAGCTAACCATTTGGCTACCTAGCCGTTTAGGTACCTAACCATTTAGCTAGCTAGCTATCTAGCTAGCTAGATAGGTTGGTGGACAGTTAGGAAGCAAAGTGGGCAGCTAGCTAGAGAACTAGCTATGGCGACGGCCAGCTAGCCAAATATCCAGCTAGCTTACTTGCTTTCCACCTAGTTGCCTAGTAGCCAGCTATCTCCAAGCAGTCTAGCTAGCTAGCTAACTAACTAACTGGCAAGATGTGTGCGAGAGATATCGAACCACTGTGGACCTGGACGCAGAACAAACTTGAAGATCGGAACAGTGAAGTGTGCGTACACCGCAGTGGTTCGGCTGGCCTGACAAAGTGTTTCTTTCTCTTTCTCTGTCTCTACTTCTGCCATGAGGTTTCTTAAGGCATTTCTTGCGGTGCGTCATTTGGGCCTCCTAGAAGAAAAAAGGAGGCTAAAGACAAACAACTGCATTTGCAATGTAAGGACGAAGATGGGCAACTGACTTCATTTGTAGTACGTTTATTTAGAAAAAACGAGAGGCGCTGTGAAGCATGCAGCAGCAGCAGCAGCACGAGCAGCAACAGCAGCATCTTTGTCTGGAGGGATCCATCGGACAACGACTGCAATCAGTGACTGCAGGGATTTCCGTCTGTGCTAAAGATGAAAAAGAGATTAAACACTTGACACGGGGCTTGGTAATGAAAGGTACTTGAAGGAGACACCAAACCGGAAAGTGTCCGAGCATCTTTTTGTGCTCTATCGATGCTACCACACCAAAGATGCCCTAGCGTAGGCAGCCAATACACCGCACCAAACCCTTGTTTGCTGCAACACCAGCACTTCTCCTGCTGTACCAACACCATCATCCAAAAGCACTTGATCTACACAGCAGAAGAAAAGAGAAAAAGTGAATGCTTTTATTGCGTGCCTGTGCATTGGCTTACTTGCACGCCAGTTGGCTAATGAGGGCAAAGTAAGCAAATAATAGCGATACTCTGCAGTGTTAGGGCGTGCAGAAAATGCGGATTAGCTGCGCTTGCATGCCGTTCCTTGCCTTGCGGCAGCAGTTGTAGCAAGGAGTGAGCAACTCATGACCGGCCGCCTTTTCTCTGCATCATAAGCCCCAGGCCCCTGTCCCCCTGTGCTCAGGGCGCATGCAGATTGGAGAGGAGATTGCTTTCTTTGTAACTCTTATTTTGCTTTTAATAGTGCTGCTTTTCGGTATTTCCCTTCTCGGGGCACAAAATATTTCTGTATTTATGCCATTGTTCCAGGCATTCTTGCTCATTTTGCGCGGTTTTACTCGAGTTTTAGTTATCTTTGCTCTAGAGCAAGACCTTGACTGAGGCCGAGCTCTCTTCTTGCAAGGCCTGTCACGAGTCGCAGTAACCCAGGCAGCAACTCGTGTTGAAAGGCAAAAACCCCACAAGCAAACACACCCAAGCGCTCTTTTGATGAGTGCATGAACACTGTAGACAGTTTTTATTAAAGCTATCATTGGCTATCGACGGCCAAACTGCACGCAAGTGGAAAAACAAACGATGCAACTACGACTGCTGGTGCTACACAGCGCGCACCACGAAGGCGAGGAGGCGGGATTGAAACTACCTACTACTAGTGATCTCTTGCCTCGACAACAGATTGAATAACAAAAAGGACATATTCATGGTTAGGAAAAAAATAGGCAAAGCATTATCTGCAAGATTTCCCTGAAATCCATGCCCTGGGGTCGGTGGACTGCGCGTCTAGCGCTATACATAGACAGCGGTGTACGTACACCTCAACGAATGTGCAGCCGCTGATCAGGGTGGAAAGCTGAATCTTTTAGTGCATTTATATGCATATTTAATGGAAATTTCACAAAATATAACAAAAAATGCATTACTTTTCACGCTGTGTCGTTTTCACCACACTGCAGTGCACCGGAGGCGGCGCGGCCTGCGATCGCATGCATTATTCATCTTTCGGGCTTTCTTCCCCTGAAGAGCGGGGTTTCCTCTTTTCCTTTCTTGTGACTTTATCTCTTATTTTTTTTGTTAAAAATATTGAAAGATAAGACAGGACCCTTTTCTGAGGTTTTCAATAAGTGGACGAGGAGGTGGCGAGGGGCTCGCGAAGAATTACACAACTGAAGCTGAGTAGACGGATCGGCCAGTTACGGGTCTTCTGCCTTTATTTTTCAGCTGTTCCTAGAGAGAGGTCTTCTCTTGTTTGCAAGGAGCTCTTGATATTTTCCTTTTTAGTCCTAGTAACCGTCTCAACGGTTTCCGCAGCCCTCGACAGCTGCAGCAGTCGACGCAGCAGCATGAGCGCGGCGGCGGTGGCCTGTTGTCTTTGCTGTTCGCTGCAGCTATGTAAACGATGCAGACGGGGCCTTTCTTCGTTTTTGTGCCTCCTCTCTACTTGCAAAATACTCCATTAGGCGCCTCCCCCAGACCAGCCCATCAACAGGGGCCTCTCTCTCGTGAAGCAGCAGCAACTGACGGCTTCAGAAGATACGAATAATGGAGTGAAGACGGACGGAAGGAAGTAAGGAATAAAATAGACAGAGCAGAAGATCGAACGGTCTCGCATGGAGCGGCAAAGACGGGGGAGCGCTCTGATGGCCAGGCAGCGGCCGAGACCCGAAGGAGTCTGACGCCTCCCCTGCTGCTACCAACGCGTCACAGCAGCAGCAGCAGCAGGAGGGGTAGCAGCAGCATGTTAAGATGAGCAGCTCTTTCTCCATCGAGATATCGCGCGAAGACGTCCCCCGAAGCGGGGCGTCGCGCAGCAGCCGGAGCAGCAACAGGCGGAGCAGCAGGAGTCGTTTCCGCAGCAGCAGCAACAGCAGCAGAAGCCACGACTTTGATGTGGCTCCTTCCGAATCCTCTTATTGCGAACCTTTTCCCGCTTCTCAAAGCGGTGAGTCGAAAGTCTCCTTCTGGAGGGCCAGAGCTGCAAGCTCTTCCTCCTCTCGCAGCGGGGCAGTAGCCAGCGGGCTTTTGGGGGCCCCCATCTCAGCTCAGCGCAGCGTAGATGCCTCGGGTAGCTCAATAGGGCCTCCTTTTTCCTCTCAGCAGCAACAGAAGCAGCAGCAGCAACTGCGGCTGCAACCTGATGAAGGGGCCTATGGGGAGGTCGATTCTGCCTCGGGCGTGTTTGGAGGTGCTTCTGCTGCTGCTTCCTATCCACACCAGCAGCAGGAGGAACAGCACCAGCAAGATGGTGCGGTTGGTTGGGGTGCGGTATCATTGTCAGCACCAGCTGGCGAGGGCTCTCTTGGGGGCCGTCCCGCAGCATCCCGCGGCAGCAACGCCAGCAGCCACTCGCATGGCGTTGCATGCAGCAGCAGCAACGCGTTGGGTTTGCGTGCTTTTGAAGGAGCATCAGCAGGGGGAGGGTTTGCTGCTGCACCGAAACAGAGCAGCAGAGGGCCTCGCGGCAGCAGCGGCAGGAGCTGCAGCGGTGCATTAAAGGAGCGGCGAGAGTCTCGTGCTGCACTGCGAGCGATGTCCGTGGGGGAGGAGGAGGTAGTACTTGAGAACAGCAAACTGTGGCTTGCTCGGGGTTCTGTCTTGTGGCGTTTTTTCTTATGTGCGTTAGCTCTGCGTGTCGGGTGTTGGCTGGCGCTGCTAGTGGTGGTGCTTACGACTTTAGGCCGTATGGGGCGAGCTGTGTCTTGTATAGACATGGGTGCATGCGTCGGAGGCGGGGGTCTTCTTGCGTTCCCTGTGTTGCTACGGGCAGCGCCTAGTTTTGCTGCTGGGTTGGTGGCTTACGAGTCGATTACGGGGCTGCTAGTGGCGGGGTTGGTGCTAGTGCTGCTGCCAATGGCAGGCAACTGCTACTACACGTGCCAGGCGTTGCTGAAGGGGACTCGTAAGGCGTTTCTAGAGGAGGTGCGCATGACAACTTGCTGCACGGCGTGGGTGGGAGCGTGTGTGGGTGTGTTTATTCCGGTGTTGTTCTTTACGCAGCAGTTCTGTGACCGAGATCGCCTCGATATCAACGCAGTGTACAGAGCAGACAATGCTGCTGTGGGCGCAGCATCAGCAAACATGTGCAAACAACTCGGCCTCTCGCGTGCATGCGTCGTAGTCGCAGCCCTCTGTGCATGCAGCACTGGGATGCTGGTGTTTCAGCGGTACACGCGGCTCTGGGCGGCGCTGCTCGCTGTGGGGGGCATCAAATTCATGCTTGCTGGGTTCCTGCTCTGTCTAACGGTTATGTTTGGCGGGCAGAGCAACCAAATGATGCTCGAGACTATGGACAAGGCGCCGGAGGTGAATGGAGCAGAGGGCCTGCAGCAGCCGATGGTGGTGCAGCTCGGCCTCTTCTTTGCTGCTCTTAAGTGGGGGGGCTATATCTTGGCTGCTAGTAATTTAGCCACGGGGGCGTTCACAGTTTGGTTGTCTTATTTGCGTTCGCATTTGCTTTCTTTTATGAATATGTTGATAACCTTCGTCTTCTTCTTCACCAACGCCGTCTCCTTCTTCGCTATGACTTTTGAGAACGCGACGCTGCAGGTGGTGTGCAACTACTCCGCCTTTCCTATGCCGCAGACAGACAGAGCAGCAGCAGAAGCTGCTCTTTTCTGTGTCTTTCGCCCTCAGTTCATCTTCGTCTGGGCCTTAGTCGCGCTCCTCTCTTGCGCGCATTTCGTTGAGTTCTGCCTCTGCGCTGCGCTCTTCCATGGAGAGCTAAAAAAAAGCAGCAGCCACCAACAATACAGCAACGACGAAAACAACTGCAGCAGCAGCAGCAGCAGCGACGCCGTCATACCGTCTGCACACAGCATCGACTCCCTGCCCCCCAAATGGGGGACGGTGATGACAACGGCGAGACAATAAGCAACTGCCTTAAGCTAATTTCCATGCACCGCCTCTTGTTCACTTCTGTGTATATACAGCTCAGAAACAGACCTAATCAATAAACCAATAGCTCAACTTCGACGAGAAATAGCATCCTACTCCTTTACCTACTGTTGCTTGAAATGCATATGCAGACATCTAGTTCTCAACCCGTTGAGGCCTGCTATGCCATCATTACGGTCCTTCGGCGCACGCAGCAGCAGTAGCTGCTTCAAGCAAGCAGCGCAACAGCAGCAACGGACGGCAGGGGCTCGCCTTCCACGCACACACAACGCCCTGTCGCCGCGCTGCTGTGCACACCAACTGGCAGACGTAGTTAGCGGGTGATGCCCACAACAACTGAATGAGTAACAAAACCTGGCGGGTGCAGCAGAAGGCAAAATACAAAACACCGCCAACAACTACACAAACCCCTATCCGGCATGTACGCTCGTGAAGTGGGGCAGTGGCCGCATACGCAGCATTCTGCCGCTCCCGTTAGTTTCCGTCTTCATCTCAGTCGCTGTCATCAAATGTTGTCTTCTTCCCTTGGAACTCCTGCACTGTTCCCGCATTCGCAGCCTTTGCAGAAGACGCGCCGCCGCCCCGGCCGCCGCGGAAGCCGCCACGACCACCGCCTGCAGCAAACAGCACCAGCAGTGAACGCGCAGGCAATGGACTATTTATGCATGCGACACGCTGCTGGTTGTTGCTTGCAACCAATAGCTCATTAAAAGGGCTGCACCCTATAATGCCCGCAGCAACGATGATCAACGCCTAAATCCTAAGACCGTAAACAGCACACCCCAGCAGCAGCGTATGCAGCAGCTTACCGCGACCGCCGCCCCGTCCTCCTCCCGCACCTCCTCTGCCTCCTCTGCCTCCTCTGCCTCCTCTGTCTCCTCCTGCGCCTCGCGGCAGCGCGTAGGCCACCCAAATGGTGCGGCCATCCAACTCAGTGTTATTGAATTTCAATGCCTTCGTCGCTGAGTCTACCGAATCGAATTCTAAGAACGCCTGACCTCGTGGCTTCCCGCTATCTTCGAACACCGGAATTCTCACCGCTCGGATTTCGCCTGAGCCCACATGCAAAAGCAGGAAAACCCACTACTGTAACAAAATTTATCTTTACTCCGCAGAATTACCACCACGCCCGGCCGGACACTAGAAAAGCAGTGCCTGCGACAATATGGAATATGCTTTATGCATACATATATGCCTATATATATATAATACATATATATGCAAACAACATGTGTATAGTATCTGTATTACTATTATAAAATTTAGGTGACTAGAAGCCGATGATGTACCGCAATCGCCGAATGTCTCCCTGATGGTGTCTTCTGTGGTGTCGAAGCTCAAATTGCGGAGAACGATTTGATTTGAAGGGTCGGCCTCGGGTCTGTCTTCTCTGGGTCCACCGTTCTTGCCTTCATGCCTGCGATCGCCGTGCTGCTGCTGCTGCCTGTCCGCTGAGAGGTTGATGCGCAGCACGCGGCCTTCGTACTCCGTTTGATTGAACTCTACAGCCTTCGCTGCTGCCTCCTCAGAAGCAAAAGTAATAAAGGCGATTCCCTTCCCTTCCAAAATCTTTATGCGTGTTGTTGGCCCACAGTCCGCCTCAAAGAGATCCTTTAGCTGCTCCTGCAACAAGAACACGCAGAAGAGACATCCACATATGACGCACAGAACGGCAAACAAACAAACACGGACGCTCCTCTGCATCTACAGGCAATCACGCAACCACAAACGAAGCAGAAAGGAAGAGAAACAACAAACAATCAACTGTATCTACATAAACAAATAACCGAATCTCCCGCTGTTTTTTCAGAGCCTCCTATCCCACAGCGACACAAAAAGAAATCCGCTGCGGGTCAAACTGGCGTCTTCGATTCTCGCAGGTTAAGTGGAGGGAGGACAGAATCTGCCGCTACTGCTGATGCAGCAGCACCAACACAACGCCTCCCGCTGGAGCCTGCCATGCCGCGCTGCGGTGTACGTACACTGCAGGGCAGCTCGTGAAACATGCACACTGACCGACACCGCGATGGGTTGCTTCTCTGTACGTCTCCTGCGTACCTCAGTTACAGAGTAAGGTAGGCCGCCGCAGAAGATTTCGGAGCGCATGCGGGCAGCGGCAGACGCATCTGTGAGTTGCAGCTTCTTCTTGGGGCCCTGCTGAGGCTGGTTGCCGTTTTGTGCTTGTGCTTGTTTTCTCTTCTTTGAGGCCCCATCGACCTCCATACTGCCATCTGTTCCTTTGCCTTTCTTCTGGGCTGCCGCTACCTTCGGGGGTTCCTCATCCTCCTCTTCTTCCTCTGAAGACTCCTCTGAAGAAGACGCCTGAGCTGCTGCTTTCTTCTGTGCCGCTGCTGCTTTTTTGGTAGGAGGCGCGCTGTCTTCCTCCTCCGAAGAAGAGTCATCTGAATCGGAGTCTTGGGCAGCTGCTGCTGCCTTTTTTTGTGGTGCTGCTGCTTTAGCCTTGGGGGCAGGCTTCTTCGCTGGAGGCTCCTCATCCTCCTCTGAGGAGTCATCTTCGGAGTCTGAGTCCTGTTGCACAGGCTGCTTCTTGGGAGCTGCTGCGGCTGGTGCTGTTGCCTTGCCTTTGTTAGCTGGTGCTGCTGGCTTCTTCGCCGGGGGCGCCTCATCCTCATCAGAAGATTCATCCGACTCCTCCGGCATCGCTGCTGCGTTCTTATTTGCAGCAGCAGCTGCCTTTGGAGCCGGCTTCTTCGCTGGAGCTGCAACTTCCTCCTCTGAAGAGGAATCATCAGAGCTGGAGTCCTGAGCTGCTGCTGCTGCCTTCTTCTGTGCTGCTGCTGTCACTGCGGGTTTGCCCTTTGGCGCTGCTGGTGCTGCCTTCTTAGGCGGGGGCATGTCGTCTTCAGAAGAAGAGTCGTTCGATTCAGAATCGTTTGCTGCAGCAGCTGCTGCTTTCTTCTGGGTTCCTGCAGGTGCTGCCTTAGCCTTAGGTGCAGGTTTCTTTGGGGGAGGCGCCACTTCCTCCTCCGAGGAGGAGTCCTCAGAGTCTGAAGAAGCCGGTGCCGTCTTCTTCTGAGGTGCTGCATTTGGTTTGGCTGGGGCTGCTGCTTTCTTCGGGGGAGGCGCGTCATCATCATCAGAAGAGTCGTCCGAATCCGAGTCCTCAGGCAAAGGGGCCTTCTTCTGAGGTGCCGCTGCAGGTTTCCCCTTCGCTGGTGCTGCTGCTTTCTTTGGTGGCGGCCGCTCCTCCTCGGAAGAAGAGTCGGAGTCGGAGTCCTGCGGCGGTGCTCCCTTTTTCTGTGCTGCTACTGCCGTCAGCTTTGCCTTTTGCACGGGTTTCTTAGCTGGGGCTTCATCTTCAGACGAGTCATCCGAATCGGAGTCCTGAACTGCAGCTTTCTGTGGGGCTGCTTTTGCAGGGACTTGGCCTTTCTTCGGCGGGGCTGCACAATTACCGGAAAATACCCAACACCAAAACTCCAAACCGTAATAAGCCCCACAACGGCACCCACGCTCCACATGAAAGCGCAACACGAGGCAAATGCGACTCGCTTTCAAGAGAGAAGGAAACGAAAAAGGGAATCAACAACAACAATCGGCCAACTGCGACGGGCGTCCCCGGGAAATCAGAGATCTTGGTGGAAAAATATCAGGCCCTGTATGGGTCAACAGTAGCAAAAAAGATGTCATCAGCAACGGAAACGCCCGACACACCCGCAGAAACTATTCAAATTGCTCGAATATACACGACGAGCACAAGAAAACACCAATGCGCAATACACTCAGCGTGAATAAGACGAAGAATCATCTCTGAGATGTCTGCAGATACACCCCAACACCGTGACCTTCAGCAGCTTACGCATTTCGTCTTCTGAACTTGAATCCGAGGAGGAATCCTGGATCGTCGACTGTGCCTTCGCGGTTATTCCTTTGGTTGCATTAGTTTTTGCTGCTACTGCCTTCTTAACCACCGCTGCACTGGGTTGGTCATCATCATCTGAACTGTCATCAGACGACGAACTCGCAGGCGCCACAGCAGCCGCTGCTTTCTTCTTGACAGCCGCAGCGGCGCCGCCCGCCTTTGCAGCAATGGCAGCTTTCTTCGGCTGCACTTCCTCCTCACTCGAAGAGAGGGAAGAGTCGTCGCTCGCCACAGGCTGCTGCACTACCTTCGCTTTCTGCACACAGAACAGCTCGCAAACAGCCACCTTATAGCCTCTAAGATGAAAAGAGGCGGACGAATGAATGGGATGGGGAAAGATGCGAAAGACCACACTGATCACCGTTTCAACCTACTCTGTCCACTTTGGGTAGCAAGTAATTTGGCCTAAATGCATATCTACAGTTCACAGAAACCTCTGCGGGGCCCTTCCATTCGACGCGCGCGATTCTACCGCAGCGCCCCACAAGACTATGAGCCACGCAGTTGTGACAGCCGGATCTTCCTCACCTTCACGGCAGAGAGCCTAGGGTGTATAGAGGGGAAAGAAGGGAGAAAGAAGCACAAGAAACACTTACTGCCATCGTGGAGGCTGAACTACAAGAATACGAAGGTGATCTCCGTGTGGGGCGGGCAGCGGGGAGCCTGCAGAAGGAGCCCAGCAGGCGTGCGAGATCCTCAAAGAAAACCGCAAAGGAAGCGGCTGACCTCTTTATAAAAAGTAGGAAAGGCACAGCAGCAAACAAAATTAAGAAGTGCTGTCTGCTGCAACTCTACCAATCACAGTGCCACAGCCTGCTGCCCCACGGTAGCCTTTGCAGCTGTTATTGTTGCGGCCTGTTGTGGCCCCAGGGCCCCACCGCAGCAGCAGGCGCGGTACTGCTGTATGCTCGCTCTGATGTGCACATGCTTCCCGTCATGCAGCGTGAATGACCCTATTAAAGGCGAAAATAAGCACATAAATACTGATAAGTAATATATAAAACTCATTTTTTTCTCCTGAGCTCATATTTATCTGCAAAACATCAAGCATCGTGGGCGTTCCTCTCTCAGCGAAGCAGTAGCGCCAGACTCCTCGAGCCGCGGTCGAGTTGTATGACCTTCTGCCGATACTGCAGCTTGACTGGTCCCTTTGCTGTGCTTTTTGACTCATTTCTTTTAATTTGACTCATTAACTTCTGTTCTTCATTGTTTAACAGACAGGAAGCAGCGGATCGGGCGCTGAACGCGCCGGACTCGGGGGGGGTGTTGTTTGCCACCAGGACGGCAGAGGCCCCGTTTTTCTATGCTTGTTGAATTTGAAATACCCATGAAGTTGTTAAGGGGTTTAGTGTCACGTGCGGCCGTCATAGGTCTCTTCTGGGGTGTATTTACACTCCAGGCAGGCAAAGATGTAGCAGAGGCGGCTAGGCTAGCCGCCACAAAGGCAGCGCGCGGCGAGGCAGCAGCAAAACTCGACAAGGCAAAGGCCCCCGACGAGTTGCAGAAGGAAAAGGAGAAACTGGAGAAGCTGAAAGAAGATATTAAATCCCTTTTAGGCGATAGCAAAGAGTACCAGCAGGGACTGAGTGAGGCTACAGTGGGCATCTTTAAGGGGTTGCAACCCGATGTTCTCTTACATCAGCATCCCCAGAGCAAAACATTACTGCTGCTTATGCTGCAGGTGCCTTCTTGTTGCAAGCTAGAGGGCCCGGATGTGCAGTCTAGCTGCAGCTGTTTCTGCTGCTGGTTTTCTTATGCCTTGCTCTGCTAGTCAGGACTCCTCCAACGGGGTCGTGCGCACAGTCTTTATACGCACCGTTTTTTGTGTTCCTTCATTTTTTTGTTCATTTGTTTGTTTGTTTGTTTGTTTGTTTGTATACAGTTAAGAAAAAGCAGGAGGAGGAGGTGGCTGGCTATACCCCTGAAGAGCTCGAGGAAACGGACCTATGTACGTAGACAGACACCGTTCGGTGCATTTCTGTCCCTATTTTGGCTTTGTTTTATT